TTGCAGTTTAGTCCTTTAGTTTTTGCACTTTTTTCTAGTTCAGACCAACTGAAGCGTTAGAATAAGCTCTTTGTACCTGGATTTGACACCCTCTGGAAGCATTCTGGCACGAAAGCCTGCCTTTCTTACTCTAGTCAGTCTTTTAGGGAGTAGTTCTGCATCAAGGAGGAGTTGTGCATAATCCTGCTGTCCTGGCAGGGCTTGCAGTGCTGAGTAGAGCTCCTGAGCAGCCCCTCTTAGAAACAAAGGAAGTCCTAAGGGGTTCCCTAGTGATTCCTTCCTTCCTTCCTTCCTTCCTTCCTTCCTTCCTTCCTTCCTTCCTTCCTTCCTTCCTTCCTTCCTTCCTTCCTTCCTTCCTCCCTCCCTCCCTCCCTCCCTTCTTTCCTTCCTTCCTTCCTTCCTTCCCCCAGTGTCTTTTCCTGCACTATGTTTCTGTTTAGATGTGTTTGACACAAAACTGGGCTGACTTGATGGAGACTCTGATAAACATTTATTTTCTCATTCACTCACTCAGACATAGTCTCGCTCCTACATCTTCCATACATCTGGCTTTGTCTTTCCATGTTAAAACAGTGCCCTCAGGCGCAGATGCACATGAAATCAATTTCTTTGGGAGCGCCAAGAACCATTCTACAAGATGTTCATAGGTTTCAGGTATTTTCAATAGATTTATGTTTAAACTGTACACACAGGTGTCAGTGGAACTTGTAAGCTAGGCTGTGTGTTTAACATTTATGTACTAAAACATTTAATTGTCTTTTTGCCCAACTAACTTCCTTCAAAGAGGTACATGGCACTGTATGCTCTGATACCTAAGATACTTCATTGCAAAAAGAGGATACATTTCTTTTCAATTAGGACACTATTTCTGCAAATTAGCATAATGACAAATTAGAAATATGTTTGTAAATCGGTACACCATTTAGAAAATTAATAATAAAATACTATATATTTTTAGAATTATAAACATCAATTGGTTTCTGTTTTTAGCTTTAGATTATTTTTTTTTACACACACTACATGAGATCTCAAAGGAACCCAATGCTGTGGGATTCTTAGGTGTGCACTTAAATTAAGGAGGACTTTAAATCAGAGCAGTGGGAATGATCATTATATCCTTATTGTTTAGGCAAACACATTTTAGGCACATACTTAAATTTCATGGTAAATTATGACTGTAGTTTATTTTATTATCTTTCCAGATGTCTAAACATTAGAAACATATGAATAGATTCAACTGTACACTCTGGATGGATGGATGGATGGATGGATAGATAGATAGATAGATAGATAGATAGATAGATAGATAGATTGATTGATTCCAGGTTTAAACAGACAGAGAATAGCCATGCTTTGAAGACGGCATATGGATTTTTAAATTATCTATGGAAGAAGAAATTATTTATTGGGATTTTTTAAAGATTTTACTCAGAATTTCTTAAATTTACATTTATTATTTAGAAATGGATGTCAGTCACTTTTCAAGTTGCTTCATAGCTTGTATTTAAATATATAATCAAAGATAGACATAAATATATAAGGAATGATAGCAGAAGACAAAGATATAGAAAGATAGTAAGGAAGCAAGCTTGCAATCTTTTACAATGCTGACAACTCTTTTGCTGCTATTGTGCATGCAAAATACCACCGAATACCATGCACATCACATTTTATGATAAATGGGAAAAGCATTTCTAGAATGCCTAAGGAAACATTACATGCCTTCTGACCCTGTAAGATGTAAATAAGAATTTTCAAAATTTTGAAAAGAAAATTAAAAGTCCCATTTTCTTTCCCCTTCTTGATTCGCTGTTTAAAATTAATTTCAGTCAAGCAAAAGAAAAGTGTTTAGCCACAGCACAGGAAGTTATGACACTACTTTGCGCTGCTAAGAACAGAGGATTTTATTAACTTTTCCAGTCTACTGCCTTTCTTCATGGAGAAGTGCAAAGAACCATTTCAGACTGATATGTGAGCAGAGGTTGTTTATACTTGCAAAGCCATTTATAAATACCAACAATGAAGGACTAGATGACGTTCATCCAAGATGTCTAAAGGAACTCAGAGGAGCACTTGGTACTTCCTTTTCTCTTACTCTCATGCCATTTCCACAACTGACAAACTACAGGATGGATAGATGCAATACAACTGCTCATATGTACTTAAAAGCAAGAAATCCTCTCTTATGTATGATGAGTTTCAGAAAAACAGTACTTGGAGTTGCGGGGAGAATATTAAATGGTCCAGTGAGCCAGTCAGAACATGATTATATTTTTTTCAAACCCTTAACATCAGCAGCAAAAGAAACTGAGATACTTAAGGGCTTAAAAGGGCAGAAATGTATCATCTAGATCAACCTAATAATAGACATATAACAGCACACCAGGAGAGGTGAATGAGGAAAAAAGATGGAGTTAACTGGACTCTAATGGACATTTTTTGAGTCGATTTTAAGAGTCTATGATATGGTCTACAGGGTAAATATTTTAGCACCCAACTTCAGGCTTTGTCTGCAGTGCATAATCAAATGTTTAATAATAATAGCAGCAAAATCTTTTAGCCTGCCTTCTACCACAGATCTTTAGTCAGGTTGCAACATATAGAGGCAGTAGAAGTCAAACCCTTCTCTCCACTACAGCCTTGCCTGCTCCAGCTGATTGAATTACCCCACTGCTCCTTCCGAGACTCCTCTGTGTGTCAAATTTCTGGATTACTTGTTGACCCACACAGTCTCTTTTCCATGCTACATCTCTGTTCCTCATGGAAGCATCAGCAGTGTCAAAATCTGCCCAGGCTCTCCATAGGCAGGGCAGGGTGTTGGGAGGAAAAAAGCAGGGCAGCACCCTTGCTGTGGAGGAACAGCAGAGTGCACATGAGGCGGCACCTTTGTAATGTCTCTGCCTTTGGCCAAAAAGTCATCCCACTGGCAAGGGACTGAGATCCCTGAGTCCCTTGTGCCAAACACAGCACACATCATGTGGAAGAAGCACGTTTGGGATTTGGCACTGGTCACAAGTTAAATATGCTAACTTGCTTCCAAGCAAGACCTGAGCATGTGGGTGTTATTTGGTATTTCACATTTTCTTATTAAAGTGTAATGCCCTGGTATTGTGTGCTGCAAGCACCCATGATGCTCTTGAAATGAAACCCTCTGCAGTGCTGGTCCCATTATTGAAAGGGTTAGAGAGTTGTGTACATAGCTCTAGATCCAGGGAAGCAAATCCAAAACCTGATTTGGACACTGTATATGTAGAGAAAATAATTTTCAAGAATGGAAGGCAGCTCACAAGAAGGGTATCCACTCTTAGTAAAGAAAAACAGATTAAGAAGGCATTATTTACACTTGATAAATCAGAGATGGCATCAAAAGGAGCTAGTATTACAAACTATTAATGAAACACATAATAATGAAACAAATCACATAATAGATCACAACGAAGTTGTTCAGTGTAATGAATACTGATACCAAGTAAGGGAACTGTGGGCTCTGGGGATACAATTTCAAATCCATTCCAGTGAGTGTGGTAGGAATGTGAGCAGAAAAAAAAAAATAAGAGTTTGAGTGTTCTATTGCTCACACTGACCACATCCACACCTTACAATAGTTGTCCTTTTGATGACATAGGTAGATAAAAATGATATTTAAATATATATTACCTACCAAGGCCAAATATAGGCATTTATTATTTCTTCTTGTGTCAAGGTAACAATTGGGATCTCATCAGATGTCAGCCAACTGTCCTAATTTCACAGAATAGTGTGAGTAAATAAACATTAAACATATTTAAAAAGACAGCCAGACAATATTTTGTCAACACAGCTTACGAAGACATTTATTTCTTACAATTATAGAAAGCCCATTGCTGCTACAGTACATAGCAACCTTGTCTTGAGGGTGAAACAAGTCTAAAATTCAAATCTTCAGTAAGATTTTGGATTTTGGAGGTACAAAAAGTGAAGTTTTTGATTAAGAGAGTGATGCCTTACATAGCTTGTATAAAATATTTGTATTTTGATCACATACATGAAACTTCAGGTGGTGTGCAAGTCTTGATTACATTTTAGACTTTTCTGTATCCTAAATCCTTCCTAAGTCAATTCTGGTGATATCAAAGCCTACCAAATCAAACATTAACTTGTGCATTTACAGCTAAATACATTTTTTTTTTTTACTGTGCATTTGCAAAAAAAAAAAAAAAAAAAAATTGGGTCTTTTTTTTTTGTTTGTTTTTCTTTGTCATGAAGGCATTCACAAATGTGGTACTGGAAAGCTGGTTTGATAGCTAAGGAGAGGCACTGCAAAAATCATCAAGCTGAGCAGGGAGCTGCCTAAGCCTGCCTAAGCTATTGCAGTGTTGCTGATAACAGCCTCCCTTAAGAGACCCTTTGGATCTAAAGGTTCTCAGCCGAGGTTCTGGCTCAGCTACAGGATTTTACAATCAAATGCCAGCGAGATGCTTACCCACACAGGGTGAACTTCAGAATAACAAGATCTTTATTACTCTCTGTTATGCACTTAAGAGAAGCCAAGTAAGGCTTCAGTAGGGCTGAAGCGTTTTGCAGTTTGTTTGGAAAATGATTTTGAAAATATCTAAATTTTAATAAATTATGAAAATGAAAAAATATATCAAATGAATACATACTGACAGATTTGAAATGTGCTAAAGTTAGCTTTCCCACAGATGATTACTGAAACACAAATATTTGAGTATGTTACTACATATGTAACTGCATACTGCAATTATGATTGCTCAGTTCAAGTCCACAGAGCCGTGTTACAGATTTAAGTTTCTGATATCTAAATTTCTGTCATGCAAAGATTTTGAGCATCTATAATAGGATCAGAATTCTGTGTTCACATTAGACATATTTAATTTACTGTGATGTTTTTAATACATTGTTTTGACTTTTCTTCACAATAATTACAATGCCTTCAGAATTATAAAAGACATGAAAATCAAATCAGCATGGATTTGGAGAAGCATCACACACTGAAAGAATCAGAAATCAAGCAGCTGTGGATAAAGCTGCACTATGGTGAGGCCATCATTTTCATCTTCAGAAAGCCACCTTAACGGAAAAACAAAAACCTGTCATAGACACAGCACATATAAAACTTAAGAAAGACAATTTGTGAGAGCCTGGTTCTGCACCTTTGATTTTCTAGGATAGTTTTTACATTGGTTTTTAGAGAAGAAAAAGCCAACCTGAAGAAAATAGTGACTTTTAAAATTTTTGTTTTCAAATAGCATTCACATATGTGTAATTTTAAAGTGTAATTAACTTTATTAATATATTTATTACATATAAATTAATTTCATTTTTTGGTCATATTGGTAACTAGTAAACTGCTCTAAAGAATGACAATAAAATCAGGATAATTTAGAGTAGAGAAACATGTTCTGTGACAGCAAGTTATTCTCCTTGTAATTAATTCTAGGAACTCTGTATTTCCCATAACTCTTTGATGCTTCACAAAATACTGAGTTGCATGATGGGCCCAATCCTAGCTCTGTAAAAGCCTATGGAGATTTTACTGTTGATTATATGAGAAACAGGCCTGAGTCCAAAGTTTGGATAGACTGATTTTAACTGGAACCAACAATTAATACAGTGGTATTAATTTCCAAAGAGAGTTAAAAATCTTCTGTACTTTGAAAGGTGTATGACAGTCTGCCTGATTTGATATCTACATGTGTGGGAGAGATTCCCAGACAATAAGTACAGCATCAAAGTAGCTCACATCTGAAGCTGCACCATTCAGCAGCTGGGAGATAAGGCTGAAGATAAACATGTCCAGGCTGATTTTGGCAGCTAAAATTGCATGTGGAAGTCACAGAGCCTGGAAATGTGTGATGTGTAAGCTAGACAACAGGCATTTAAATGAGTTAGCAAAGGGTTCAGGTTTCTCAGTGATTAATGTCTTTTAGAGATGTTTTTTGCTTTGGAGGAGTCCTTTTTATGCGAGAGAATGAGCCCATTCCCCATTCCCTCCGTAGGCCATGACACGAGGAGTTCCATGAGGAGCTCGATGTCTCAGCTGGAAGAGGACCATGAACTTAGAGTTTCCTCTATCTGAGAAGCCCCTGGGTCTCTGAGTACCCTGGGGTTAACCTCCTAATCTCTTCTACTGAATAACTTCCAGTTTTAGTAGGGTTTATATGCTTCAGGGTAGGCACATAGTCCACCAAGCCTCAGTTAAATGTTCTTGTCAGGTGCATGTAGAATCAATCTGTGCCAGTCACTCACCCACATCAGTGATGTGATTCCAGTTCTTGCGCCAGTCTCTTATTTACCTTTGCACTTTTACTATAAAATTCTAAATAAAATTGAAAAAAAACAAATATCTGGAAAAAACCGTTTGCTGCAGTCTATCTCCTGCAAGAATCTTCCTCTGATTGGTGTGGTCTGAAAACTCTTACAAGCAAAAGGGGTGAAGTGGCATAAAATCCTGAAAATCCTGTCATGGATTGTGTTGCACATCTGAGTGACATTGTGGGTTAAGAGCTTTGCTTAATGCCCACTAACTTAGATTTAGGTATCTAGTAGATTAGAGAGCATCTGAAAACACCTTTGGAAGAAGTTGAAGCAAGGCAAGTTTATTGTTGTTGGAAGAAGTTTGAGGTTGTTGAGGTCAACAACAACCTCACTCTCGTGATTTAGACTGTAGAGACAAACTGAGTATCCAAGAACTTCAAAAGTTACCTTTTTTTGGTACAGGGGCTGGGATTTGGCTTCCATTAATTGTCAATTTTACAGAAATATTTAAGGAAAGGATAAAATTAAATATTCTTGGCTACCATTTTTGTTTTCAGATTACCAGGTAACATTCTCTTTCTAGATACAGGGAACTTGTAAATTTTCACACTTCTCTGTTCTTCAGATGCATTCAAAAGCTAATTTCCACTTGGAAGGACATGAATATGTTTCCATCAGTTATTTATTCTGAAATTCTTCAAGCCATGAATGATATATTGTAGTGAACAGTCACTCTAAATGCACTCCTTCAATTTAATTTCCAGTTTTTGAAACTGTGTTGTCTCAGTTTGATGCAGGCTCATGTGCACCCTGTTTTTGTACAACAGTAGCCCTTTACCCAAGCAACCCAGTACCTAAATACATTTCTAAATTTAGATCATTACACTTCTACATTACATTATATAAACCTTTCTTTTTATCTTTATCCCATTTGCTGAATGTGTCTTGGGCCCATGCTAAGCAAACATTGAAACAGAAGGATTCTAATGCTTTAATGTTGCCTTAATAAAATACACTACTTCCACGAGTTTTGAATCTATGCTGCCATGTTCCACTGTCTTCCTTTCTAATTCCCTTCCATGCCTGTTTGCTTACCCCTGAAATGCTTGCCAGAGCTATTTATGTGCTAATGCTTGTGTAGTGGTTCACCAGACACCTTCTACCCCTTGAATTCAAAATGTGTCTGAATGCTTTCTCTTGGCAAAGGCATTAAATTATGTCTCTCCCTCCTACAATCACCCAGTTTTAATTGAGTGGAAAAATCTAGTGTCTTCCTCTAGCAATTCTCCTGACAATTTAGTTTCAAGTTGTCCAGGGGGTTCAAAAGTCATTGGGGATGGACTGATAAAAACACAACATTGTTTAAAAAAAAATCATTACTGTCTTAGAAAACCAGACAGAAGCAACTGAGAGACTTGTGAAAAAGAAAACAGCATGTACAGAGGGATGATGGACTGATCTACTGACCTGTTACAGTTGAAGCAATGCACTGAATTCCTAGCTGCATCTGTGATTTCCACTTTTTCTAGAAACCAGCCACTTGCTGTAGAACAAAAAAAAAAAAAAAAAGAAAAGAGCAAATTTAATATAAACAAAACACAAATACAGCATAAGAAAGGTTTCTAATTTCATTTCCCAAACCCCATGTGGTTCAGTACTTCCAAGTATATTCAACATCAATAATAAAACTGAAACACAGATGATTCAAATTACTACCAACTTCTCTGTTTTACAGGGAAGGTCTTTGATGTTTTTGATAGAAAATGTAATGGGAGATTTTTGTTATGACTTAACTTATTTTTCCAGATTGGATAGAACAGGCAGTAAGACAAATGAAACAGAGTGCATGGTAATATTGAATACACTCTTGAAAACCCATTTTGCCCTTTCAGGTACTTGGAAATGCACTCAGAATGCACTCCTAGTGGGCATTCCACTACTCTTTTCCAATTAATATATTGATATGGATGTGAACCAAGTGGTAAAGCTGAATGTTTCCCATATTCCTATTTTTCCAGCTGTCATGATTCAGAATAGCAGTTTCATTTAGGCCAACACTCATATTTGTTTCAGCTTTAAGAAGATACTGAATATTTTGCTTTAATCCCATTTTGCTGTGTGAAGAAATACCTTCATTGTTGTGATATAGAATTTTATTTTATAGAACGTCAAAATATTAATATTTTAAAACCAAAACTTTCATATATATACATAAAACATATTGTGTATGTTTTAGATGTACAACACATATATTGTATATGTTTTATATATACAATGTCTGTGCTGATATCTTTAGTTGTCTTTGCCAATGAAAATACTTAATGAAAACATTTTAAAACTAATTAGTATCATACTGCTGGTACCTGACAACATTTTGATAGTCTTTACATGTCCTAGAGATAAAGAACTAGATCCTATCTAACTACTTTGGTTTTCAAATATTTGCATGAAGTACTAAGTAGGCAAAAACCAGTAAAATATTTTTATTCTAAATGCTAAATTTTAATTGTACATGCTAAAAATGTAATATTAAAATATTTGCAAATTGTGTCAGTTTGGATAAAATGTAAAAGTACAGCGATGTTTCTTTTTATTCAATGACATTTTCAAAAAAATAGCTGGGTTAAGTAGGCCATGAAGGTGTCTAGGTATTCCACCTTCAATTTGCAAGATCCATTTATTGATATTGTGAAGTACTTTTGAAACTCTTTTAATGAAACCTTGGGAATGGTTTAATATATCATAGACTCTACTTGGAATAGATGACCTTTCATGAAATCTCTAAATCAGAGTCAAGATCATCAGCAATAAAATTTTACAGCCTCTCAAATTTACACGACACTTTACAAAAGAATAGAAAGGCAAGTTTGCTCTCTTGAAAAGATTAAAATCTAACGCTTCATCCTTTATTGACAAAACTCCAACTGAAATCTCCAGGTATGGAGAAATCTAGAGGCAGCCAGGATATGTTAGCAAACAGATGAAACATCCCAAAGAGTTACTGTAACATTTTAGGAAGCTTGTGGGGATAATAGCTGATGTGAAAAATGACACTTGGAGGGAATTTCAAAGAAATATTTAGAGGAAGGTTGTCATGTCTAAGATGAATCAACACGCCCCAGCTGTGTTAGGAAGGACTATTAGCAGCTATGTGATGTTGATCAGGACATAGAGAAGGGAAATAATAATGTTGTTGATAGATCAGGACTCAGGAAATAAAAGTTCAATCTAGTTTTTTGCCTGCAGACTTCTGTGCAACTGTCAGTGCTAAAAGTTGGCCATTGTGGAGTTCCCTTCCCAGATCGGATCTAAGCTGGACTGTGTGCATGCATAGCAGTTATCACAAATAAGATGAAAATTACCAGGAAAATCTTGTTTATTACAGATCTTTCAACAGGTTTGGTGTTTTTTCTGTTTTCAACACCATGAAATAAACGACATGACTGGGTGGTTAGGAAAATAAAAAAGCTGTTCAACTTTCTCCAAATAGGAAATGCTATTTGCAGAATTTTTCTTGGTATATCCTAGAAATGATAAACCCTTTGGCACTTTGTTATGCCTCATAAACTTAGATTAATCAAATTTTATTAAGCCTAAACCTATTTCTTTGAGATGGGTTAAGCAAACTTCACCTGACTAGAGTATCTTAATACAATCAGGCCTTTTTGATTCAACTTATACATTCCCTGCATATTCTGTTTATGTGTTTGCATATCTCTATATGTCTGATATCCGCATATCCCTACGGGTTTTTAGCACTATTAAATGTAAGCTCAAAAGATTATATGCCCTAGTCTCCTGTTTTATTTTTCTGTAAAATTCAGAGTCTAGAGGTTACTGTTCACAGAAACATTTTCCATTATCATGTGTGGCTATGTTCTATAGCCACAACCTAACTTAACATCAGAGGAGGGCCTGGTGCACATTGATGTTCTCAGACTTTCTCAAGAGGAGATCTAAAGGAGCTACAGCATGCTTTGACCAGAGTCCTCAAACTTGCTCAAACCATGGAAAGTTTAGCCTGCAGTTTGAAAATTCAGTCATGTCTTGAACTGATTGAATTCAAGACAATCAATTGTCTTATTAACAAGGTATTTTCTTATTGTCCACAAGAAAATCATTGTTTTATTTAAGACATCTAATAAGGGGTTTGGCTGACCAATGTTTGAAAGATAAAACTATCTGAGGTTTATTTTAACTAGATCACTGCTAGAAAAAGAATCGTAGTATAGTCAAGGGAAATGTGATAGAGAGGGTGAAAACCAGGGCAGTAAAGCTGACCTTATTTATACACAGGTTTGTATTAGCTAGCTGTAGCAGTAGTGTGACTTCAAGCACCTTTCCAAATGTCAGGCAGATCCTTAAGCAGAAGATGTTTGCAAGGCTACTGAACACAGAATACTTACCAAATCCTTTCCCATCGTGGCCAATTTCAATTGAACGTAGGCTGCCTAGGTTTTTTGTCTTAATCTTGAAGGTATCAACCTTTAATATTAAAATTTAGTTATTAAAATATGATACTAATGTTTGGAAGCTTACATATTTGTCTAGGTCAGTTCTGAGACCAATTCAAGTGTAATAGTAGAAGTTCAGAATAAGTGAACCACCAATGTGGCTTATTTTCCCTACTGGTGATGTGTGGCATACGTCCTCTCCTATTAGGTCTCAGTTTAGCCACAAAACATTCACTTTTCAACTTATAGTATGATAATCCCTACCTCTTTCTTGACTTTCATCTACTGTGAAAATATTTTTGGTCTCATGAATCCTCAACTGCTATAGTCTTCTAAAATATTTTTGTAAATGATATGTGAACAAAAATTCAGAAATATAAAATTAAGGGATTTTACTAGATTAATCATTATTCCTCTCAAATATTATATACTTTAATATAAAATATTCCATTATTTCATATTGCTGATTTTTAAAAAGAAATTGGTTTTCCTAAGACCTTTGACTTAGGTCTTATATGGAAAAACTGGCTATCCATTGACTTAGCTGGATTGCTAACAGGATTTCTACATATTTACTGTTCCTTTTTGAAGGGTAATGACACCACCTGTGTAGTACCAGGCAAAGGGAAGTACCACTTAAGACATTTTTTACTTACTTCTTCTGCCTGTAGGTAGCTAGATTTACTATTCTCCTTAGTATGGAAGACAATTCATGGGTAAATATCTTTATCTCACAGATAACTTGGCTGAAGAAACTTTGACTAATTCCGGGTAAAAAGATGATTAATATTGCTGGAGATAATGAGGTAGATCTCTTAAGGGATATATTTTCACTGGAGTTCTAGTTATTTAGTCATTACCTTTCAATAACTCCACAAGAGAAAGTTACAGAGAATATATATATTTCTTTTTTACTTGAGGGTAACCATCACTGTACTCCATTGCACAAGTGGTGACCAAACAGAGCAATGTCTTTGACAGAATAATATGTTTATTAAATTAGGAAAACATCCACTAGGACATCATGCAGAGAATCTGCATTCTTATGCAAATATCTGTATCTGAACTAAGGGTCTCTGAATAACAGCCTAAAGCAGGGTGGATCTCAGAATCAGGCTGATGTGTATGGTTCCATTTCACCTGGTTTTAGGCTTATACATCCAGGGGTGCTCGCAGCACCAGTTTCCATGGCAAAGTAAAATGATGGGATAAAAGAGACTGCTGTGTTCTCATGCAGGATATTCAAGGTGTGTGCAAGAGCACAGGGTAGTGCACACAAGTGCACAGGCCACTCGTGCTGTGCATTTCAGAATGAGGAAATACAGAGCTGGGCACGGAAGGGGAGGCAGTGTGAAGATGTATGTGGGACTAATAGGCAGCAGAGCAGCAGAGACAGCTAGATACTATAGAAGTAAAATGTTCCTTGGTGAATCTGGTGGAAAGAACAAACACAGGGTGAGCTGAGACTCATGTAGTGATGTGGAAAACAGAAAAATGCCAAAAGTTTTCTAAAGAACTTGCATAGATTTAATATTTGCTTTTTCAGTACAGAAATGGACACAACGTATAAGGTGTGTGTACTCACCTGGCCTCTTTCAAAGGGGTTTTGATGCTCCAGTGACTGAGAGAGTTGAAACACCTCAGATTTGTCCTCATTCCCAAATAAAATAATATGGACATTGGCATCAGTCCCTGCTCCCCTTTTGTCACCTGTGTACACTTTAATAGCATACTCTGTCAAATTCTTTACTTTACTTCCTTCCTTATTCAAGTTGTTATCCATGTCATTCTTTTGTTTCTCTCCTCCAATAACAAAAGATCTTGGAATTTCTCTCTCTATTTTGGGCTTATTTGCATTCACAGAAAATTCTCTGAAAAATAGAACCACATTTGGTTTTTGGTAAGTAAATAATATGTTAAATGAAAAAAATCCTATTAATTTATGTGGAACATCTAAAGATGGGCATATTTTTAAAATATCTATTGAGAGAATCACTCTATGGCATTTACTTTAATTCAGTGTCTGCTCAGTGTTTTCAACTATTATGCTATTAAAAAACATTATTAGCTTTCCACAATATACTCACTCATTCACTTCAAATACATAGATAGGATGCTCCTTTGCAGCTTCTTGCACATGCAATTTTTTAATGTCCAGTTTGCAGTCTGCAAAGAAGGAAAGAGAACATAGTGAAAGTGTTCCATTGCATGACAAGAAATTAGGTAGGATGTTGTTGGTGTAATTATGGCATTCTTACTATATGAAAACTTCATTTTTTCATTAATTTATGAATGCAAACAACTGAGTTGAAAGTGCTGTAACGACTACAAGATTTTTTATTTTGTTCCTACTTGTGAACCTCAACTTAGAAACTTAGGAGTAAGCATTTCCTTTGTCTTAGTGAAGCAAAGAAGTGGTGTCCTCACTGTCCTTGGATGGGCATGCAGAAAAGCTTCAGCATGACTCAGGCAGGCACATTTGAGAAGGAAGAGCAGAAATACAGGTTTGTTGCTTCCTCCTCAGTGACTGCTTGACAAGAGGAATGGAGCTCTATTCCACATGCAGCACAAAGAGGATCTGATTAGGTGCCAGGTAGGAAGGGAGTTCAGCAGCTCACTGTACCCCTCTGCTGTTTGGGAAACATTGCTCTCTGACTTATACTCCTTGTTGAATTTTCTGCTGGGGGCTTCAGCTGCATGGCCTGAGTGTCTTGCCACTACTCAGTATACGGCAAAATAAGAGAAAATGAAGACTATTCATTTTCCCTTCTATGATTTGTAGCTTCAGCCCTGTTCAACACACTGCATTCCAATCTCTTCTGCTACTATCCAAATCTATTTAATTATATCAATAGGTTTCTGTGGAGGGATCCAAGACATTGTGTTATACTCATGACCTGCCAAGATAAGGGCATAGAGAGAGTCAGAAGATTCAGGAAGGGACCATGAACCCTCTGATCTTAAAAATTGACTCTCATAAGGAACAAAAGCATAAATGCACTGGAGAACATTGCCCTGACTGATCAGTCCTGCAGGGTACATCTGATTTTAAAGAGATTTTATGGGATTTGGGATTTTTGGTTCAAAGTCTTGGTCCAAAATAGTCTCAGTTCGAACAAGTCTAGTTACAGTATGGGCACCCTTACTCATCTGAAGTGTTTTATCATCTAAGTAACTCCTTGGAAGAAATATCTGTTAAGCATCTCAATCCTGTCTTCATAACACACACTGAGGCAATGAGCCCAATGTCCCTTCTTTGTGAACTGTGTTTTCAAACCTGAAAGGAAAAGTCTCTCCTGTCACGTTCTCCGTGGTGCCCTTTGGCTACACACAATTGCCACACTCAGTGACTGTCACTCAGACAGATGGCTGCAGTTAACTTCCACAACTGAGGCTGTGGGAAACAAAAGCAGAGAGCTGCAGCATGGCAGGACTGTCCCTGTCCTTCCCTTCCCCTCTGGAGTTACTGCAGCCCCACACCGTGTCCCCCTGGGGGTGACCTGTGCTGGGCACGGGATGTGTGACCAGCCAAGAGTTTGTGCCCAAATGTCGCCTCACATACTTGGTTGAAACCGGGTGCTGTGCCTAAAAGGTTTTTATCAGAAGCCTCCGGATGAGCAAACAAACAAAAAAAAAAGTTAGATAAAGTGCAAACATAGAACCCTTGCTTCCCTAGAAAACTGTCTGAAAATGGTCAAGTGCAATGCATAGCAATGATTTGCAATTATATAGCAAATTTCATTAAGGGATTTAAAAAAGCTTTATAATTAATTCTTTGAATTAGTAACATGATAGCCATCCTGCAGATAAAGCTGAGAGATGTTGAGGTCAAGACAATTTCAAGAAAGTTCAGTGACAAAACATGTCACTGAACATGTCACAGGGAGAAAACTGAACTGGGAGGGAAACACAGTGAAAATAACTGAATCACAGAACAAAAATTTTAAAATATCAATTTCTTACTTGAGTAATAATTATTCTCCTAGATAACTTATTAGTAGAGCATGTACTAAGTGCAGAATATATTTATATTCATCTTCATTTACTTTCTTGATGCAACAATGTTATAACCTTCAGATCCCCGGATTTTAATTTGTCAAAATGTAGAATTTTGCTTTATAAAACACTACCCTTTAGAAAAAATAGCCAGAAGGACTTAACTAGGATTTAACTTTGGCAGGGACTTTGTTGCCTTTAACAGGATGTTAGCTGTGTCATTTACATGACTGAGTTTAGAAAGTAAAAGCATTTTACCTGTTTTACTGCTGATTGAAAGAACAATTTTTTCCAGTTCTCCCAAGTCAACAGCATCCACCATAACTAGAAATGACTAAAATAAAATTATTCAGTATTATTATAAAACCATGTTTCTTAACTGTATGGGGAAATTTGAAAATAATATGTAGGAAGTATAAAAATGGATTAAAGGGTAAATTTTAAAATACTTTAAGACAGACTACCTCATTTTTCTCTCCCTGCTGTACATTCTGCAATGACTGGAGAAGGGATCTGTCTCCTGTGTCACCATGAGTACCAAATATAGATGCAGTCATATGCACTAAGTTTCTCTCATTCAAAATATTTCTTGAAAATACCGTTAGATGATATGTAACCACTGCAACATCAATTAAAAAGAGATCTTGTTAAGAATGTGCCACAACCTTACACAGCAATTTGACAACACGGCATTCTACAGTCAGATGTAACTAAAATTCAAGCACTTGAAAATAATAGCAAACCCCAAAATTTTTGCAATTTTTTCTTCATAATTGTTTTGCCACCATCTCCCAGATCTGAAATTTTAGAAGTGAGGCTGGGCCATCCCAAAACAAAAATGAAAGGATTGCATTTGGAAGGTTTAATTCTTGGATCGCTGTGTCAAAGAGCAGCAAGAGTGGACCGGCTCCACGAGAGTGGGCAAGGTAGAGGCTGAGCACAGCCTCAGCTCAGGCAGTGCCCTCTCTGACCACGTTCTGCAGCATCTGCATGAGGCAGACAGAGATGTCCAGAGTCTCAGATGCAGCAAACAGTGAAAAAGACCTGGGATCCATCCAGGGATTGAGCTGGGGTTAGAAGCAGAAAGGGCCAGAGAAGGAATGAGAACAAGGCTACGACATAAGTCCAAGGTCTGTACAGGAGAGGGGGGCAGACAGAGAACCAGGGAAAGATGCACATGACATGTAGCTCAGGCATGATCTGACTGGGGCATCCTCTGCCTGTGAGGGTGCTCACAGGGATTCCTGGATGAGGGAAGAGACAAAGGATCTGACTCTTATGTTTTAGAAGGCTTGATTTATTATTTTATGATATATATTACATTAAACTATACTAAAAGAATAGAAGAAAAAGTTTCATCAGAAGGCTAGCTAAGAATAGAACAGCAAAGAATGATAACAAATGCTTCTGTCTCGAACAGAGTCCAAGCCAGCTGACTGTGATTGGCCATTAATTAGAAACATCTAAGATGGGCCAATCAAAGATCTACTTGTTGCATTCTACAGCAGCAGATAATCAATTTACATTTTGTTTCTGAAACCTCTCAGCTTCTCAAGAAGCAAAATCTTTAAAAAAGGACTTTTCATAGAGTATATCTGCAACACTCTGCCCATCATGGCTGTAGGTTCCAAGTGAGTCCAAGACAAGTCAGGTCTGTGACTTGTGGTGGCCCTGATGCACTGGAGTCAGGTGGAGAGGCTGCATTCATGAACTTTGGATCAGATCATACAGGGGACAGCGCTGGGAGAGTGCATTGTACAGAGGAGGGCAATTGAGGGAAATTAATGTAGGCGAGGGTAAGAGGGCTGAAATACTTAAATAATGTCTTTGTTTGGGTAGTGTGACCAGATCACAAGTGTAGCCACCAAGCTTTTATCTTTTTAGTGTACTGAATAAATTGGAAAGGGAAAGATTAAAGGGATCTCTGAAAAGAAATTACATACAACAAGGGTAACATATATGAATGTTACAACTCCATTAATTTTATAAAATTCTAATTATTTCATGAGATTGGGATCAATTACAGCTCTCTTTTAAAGTTTTGGGAATAATCAGCTTGAAAGTAGCATAATAAGGGGTTTTTTTTACCTTTTCAATATTTAATTGTTCTGCCTTAAAAACTACAGTAGTGCAAAATTGACTTTCTGAACAGCCCTGTGTGTGAGAGGAGAGAGACCCATGTCATCCCTGGGGATTCCTGAGGTGTAAGCATCTCAAAGGAAGGTACAGTAAAAGGAAAGTACTTATGTATATACCCAGCTGGAGGCCTCTGCTCATTAATACACCCAAAGGCACAAGTGTGCACTGCCAGATCTCAAGGGTCTGCACTCTATCAACTGCATTTTGATGGCTTCAATTAGCCATTAGCAAATGCTTCATCACAATCCCAAGCAAGCTTTTTTTAAAAAAGGAAAATATAACAGATAAAATACTAAGGCACTCTATAAATGACAGAGCTGTATCTGAAATTTAATATCACATGGCATCTGGTTATGGTGAGTGTGATTAGCTGCTTTCCATTCCAATTAATACAATACTGGTTTTGCTTTTAGCTGATAAAAGGGAGAAAATAAATTAGGTTTAGAAAGCTGTCAAAAAGCATATCTTGTTTTCACAATAAATTGCAAGTAAATTTGTCTCTAAAGATCACTTTGAACTCCACGTGTACCACCTGCTGTGGAGCTGCTTAAAGCTCTCTTGGACATAAATGGCAAAGATTTGGGGGAATCACTGTCCTAGGTTTTTTTTCTTCACTAGATACAAATCCCTCCTTGAAAATATCTAAAGCATGCGTGGAAAGAAATAAAACCCACAGAAATTAGTTATTTCATTTGATTGTTCTTTTACCTAAACTTAGAGATAATATAACACCTATTCCTTGTTTGTGATGGTTTTTGTCTGTTGATTTTAGAATAGATGCAAAGAACAAAAATATTACCAGGAAAGAAAAAACAAAAGGCAAAGAATGGGGAAATTAATTTTTCAACCAAGAGGTCAGTGACAGAGCCAGAGCCGAGGTCATAAGGACTCCAGTCTCATCCCCCTTTTATCACCCATGTTGCACCTTTCTATCTTCATTTCTATGGCTTGTACCTGTATCCTGAATACTTCTGCATGTGACAGTGATCACTCCTTTGCAAGGGGTGCACTCATGTACTTTATGTTAATCTGAAGGTCCTCTTTGTTTCAATCTTGTGTGTAGGAGATGAAAGCCATTGAGCCCTGTTCTGTACCCATAATGTGTAAGTGGGCAAGTGAAAATAACACTTCTAAGCAATAGAAATCTAAAGCCTAGACACAAATTTTAGATTTTCAATTGCTTCCAAAATATGCAAAATAACCCCAAACTTCAGGCTCTGTTACTTCTACTGAGATTATTCACATACTTATTTTTGGGTGCATTCAGAGACCTCACTGAAACTGGGCCATAAATTGCAATCCAAAGTGTCTTGGGGTAGTTCATTTTACATCTACTTCAGCCCACTTTAGATGAGCTGACTTATTTCTTACCCAAATAATTAATTTGTATAAAACCCAAGGGACAAATTATTTAAATATTAAATGTCATTATTTGGTCTGTTAATTAAGTTAGTATTTGTTCCATCATATGGTAGCATTCAGTAAGAATCACATTAGGGAATAGGGTGGATTTTAGGTGAAAGGATTACTTTTATTTTACTTAACCGAGGTGACAAATGTAAGAATTGTTGAGCTAATTTTAGGAGACATAAATATTTGGAGTATATAAAGGTAATAAAGCTGAAGTTTATATGTAGTTTTAAGCTGTTATTTACTGAGAATATTTATTTAGAATGTGCAAACAAACAACAAAATCACTTAATAGTAAATGAACTATAAAAAATCATGTTGTTAATGTCAGCAATATAAGCAGCTGAGGACTAAACAAAAGAGAATAAAAATATTACAATAGTTCAAGAAAAGAATATTTCTTATAAACTGTTCTTTATAGCATATAATAATGCTTCTGTGCAATCAAGTGAATATTGCATTTCCCACTTTATAGTACAGAAATTAAGCTGAGTGGGTAATATTTTCCTTCATACCTTTTAACTTCTTATCCAGTCTCCATGAATCATTAAATAAAGAAAATAAAAATTTCTGTTTTGATAAAGGTTTCCACTGTAATACCAGGACACGTTAACCTCCTGAACCACTCTACTGCTTTGAAGTAGATTTATACCTACCAGAAAGTGCTTCTTTTAATGGCCACTGTATAGGGAATTCAACCCATCTGTCTCCATTAGGAGAAAGAGGAGGTGTTTCATTTATGGTGAGACTAAAGGTATCCAGGGTTGATGTGTTCTGTATTTTAAAGTGATGAAGAGACAACTGGGATATGTTGTTTTCCAAACTCTGGAGACCAAGCCTCACTTTATAAAGCATTCCCAAATCAGATGGCAAATATATCTAGGAATCAAGAAAACAAGGAGTTAGCATCCAAACAGAGGTGTGCAGATAAATGCATAGGTAGTTTACAGGAAGAGAGGAAGCTGGCTGTAAAGGAGTCAGCACAGTCCTGCACCCATTTGCATCAGGCTTGGTGCTAAAAGTGCCATTCACTTCAAAAGCAGCAGAACCAGGTTGACTGTAGGCACTTAAGGACATTTTAGCTTTATCCTCTAGGGGCATTCATTGTAATTGTTCTATCAAATTCAAATTACATACACCAATGATTTCTAATGTGAATAAGTAATGTTAATGTAATTTAAAATGATATGCATTATTAACTATGACTATTTGTTGGGGAAAAAAAGAATATGCTTGATCATCATGAACTTAAGAAAGCCAGAAATTAAAAATAAAATATGGTACGTGACTGAAAACTTCAGCTCTGATTTTCTTGAATGTTTAAACAATAATACAAACACTAAAAACAATATTTACAGCACTACATTCTTATTTCTCTTTAAAATGAAACTCAAAGGAAATTTAAATATAGGCAAATCTATATATTATTTTACATCATATGTTATTTGGTTCCCAGTCTGATGTTCCGCTTTGTTTTCCATGGAAACTGGATTTGACTTGCCGTTGCTTCCATAAAAAACCATAACCATCTTGGATATATTTTCTGACAACTTTTCAAATTCTGATTTTGTTTCTTCTTGATGCTTTGTGAAATAAATCCTCCATCTGCCTTCTGAACAAATAAAATAAGGAAAATAAAAAGGAAAAAATATTAAGGATGTTTCTGTTTTCATATATTAACAAAGCTATCTGATATAAAATTTCTAAGACATGCCTTGCTCTACATGGGGAACATTATTTTATAAGCATGTTACCTGGGTATTGATCAGCTCCCTAAGTTCATTGTCATTTTTTACAAAGGGGAAACTATTGTCAGTACAAGTAAGTATAATGACATATTGTGATGAAAATATTCTCACATTATTATTTCAAAACTGATTAATAAAACAGTCAATGTAACGACAGAAGCTATACCTGAATTCATTTGGTCTCTTCCTAAAGGCCAGGCAGATGTACTCCTCCTCTCCTGAACTTCTAATTAAAAAGAAAGATAAAATTAATACTTTTGTAGAACAGTATCTATATTATAATAAAGGTTTGTATTCATGTCTAGTGAGGCAATTGACGGAGTATTATATCATTTAGATTAAAGATTTAACTAGGAAATGTACAGTGTAATTTTCTATTTAAGCATCATCTAAATATCATCCTATTAAATAAACTGTCTCTTTACTAGGAAAATGGTAGTAACATGAAGGTTCAAGTATTTTTCATTTTAAAGTATTTCCCTTTCATTTGTACAATTTATGCCCTGGATGAATGAGCACTAATTGGATGTCTTTAATGCCCATTCTAGAGGCTGATGTTCCTCCCACAGATATGAGTCCCCACTGATTTCAAAAGGATTTGGTATAGATCAAAGCTGCCTGTAAACATTAGGTAGTGACCTGGACTGAAAATGAGAAGACTTCTTTTGAGTTCATAACCAAGACTGGATTTGCCAATTATTGTATAAAGAAACTCATGGGAACATTTGTCCTAATCAATGAAGTTTGATAGAAACAGAACTAAACATTGCTTTTTTTTTATTTTTTCAGAGATGTCCCAACATACAAACCAAACCAAAGCTGAAATTATTTGTATTTGCACATGAACAGTTTCCTCCTTTTTTTCCTGGTTTCAAATGATCAAAAGTTAGAGATCATACAGCAGAGGAAATCAATTGAACTAGAATCTTCTTCAGTCTCAAGAGGCTATTGCTGGACAAGTGCCAGCAAATGCCCAGGGAGTTAGGAAGAATAAATCTAGAACAAGCTTTGCAATCCAAGGACTCATTTATACTGTCAATTAACTTCTCTGAGAGGCAGAATAAATACATCTGTCTTAAAGGTACATTCTGGATTTTCATGCCTGCTGATGTGGTTGGAGTGTGTTGTGGTTCCTCCCAGCTTGCACAGCAGATTGTGTTGAAATCCGTGCTTGGACTGAAGCCATGACACAGGGAGGGAAGGAGGGTGTACATTCCCTTCCTGTCATGACAAAGAGCCACAGGCAGTGGGCTCAAAACTACTCCTGTGTGGCCTGACTACTCTCATGGTGTCAGTCAAAAGCATCTCCAGATTCTGGCAAAAGTTGTCCAAACAGTGTAGCATAAATAATGTAAATTAGTCATCTTGAATACAATGGAGACATTCTCTCCACTGCTTAAACAGAGTTTTCCCCGCTTTTTACCTCGTTTTCACTCTGCCTAGCAAGTAATTGGTATTAGAAGCTTAAAAGTAGTTTGCAGGTGTAGAAGTAAGATTTGGAGAGGTAGGAATTTGTAAAAAAGGAATAGGACAAATTTCTTGGCATTTACACCATTGAAAATCTGGAGTAGCAAAGCAGAAATTATCCTCTGGCAAATTGTGGTTATTAAATGGTATTAAACCACAAAGTGTTCAGACACACTAATTCCCTGTATAATGACAATGTTCTACTGGAATATTTTAAATCACAACTTGTTTGTAGAAGCAAATTTTATAGCTGCATTCTCTATAGTTTGGATTGAATTTCTTAGCAGATGATAGTTTGAAGGTAGTGTTGACCTGTGACATCCAGAGTTACTGAGGCAGATCTTTTTCCATCACGTCTGTCTTTAAGCCATGTTTGAGCCATAAACAGTGTTTCTGTCCCTGAAGATGCTGACTCTTTCACAATAATCTTCTCCAGAAGCCAGTCAGAGCCTCTCCCTTTTTCAACAACCATCCTTTGGAGAATACCAATATCTACTGCCTCCACTTGAAAAATATCCACCTGAAAAATTCAGAATCAGAAGTCATATGGAAACAGAATCATGTAACTAAATTATCGGTGTATTTTGAACTATGAAAGTGAGAAGAAAATCAGGATTTTTTATTAACTTTATAAATAGTAACAGAACCAGAAATGACAAGTTTGACTATGCTAAATGCCTGCAGTAAGAAGTATTTCTTCCCTTTGTGGTTCTGCAATTTACAGCTAAACCCCCTCTTTGCCCACACAGATTATCAGCTGCCTATGCTTGCTTAATGAGAAATTTTCCTTCCCAAAATTGATGCTTAATGATCTACAGGGAATATATTTTAAAAATATCTTACTCTCAACAAAATAGACCCCAACGGCTATTTCAGGAATGAAGTACAGGGAATGAGAAGAGTAGAAACAAGCATCACAGAAGGAATCTCTAAAGAAAGAATGACAAATTTGGTTCCAGATTTGGATTAATGTGTAGGATTAGCTTCAAAATAAGTAATTGAATGGAAAGAAAAATATTTTAAAAAACTATGTTGAAATAAGTTCTGCTATTCTCTATCAGTTAAAAAACCCACAATAATTTTACAATGTTTAGAACACTGAAGTAAGATTCCTAAAGAGAATTGTGATTTATCAGACATTCAATACTTCCACAATATCTGATTCTGGCTTTTTGTGTGTGTTACACTTATTTCCTGTTTCCTCAGCTGAAAAACAGACATTAAATTCTTGTCACAGAGACTTTCCACATTTTTTGCTTTATAGATTTATGAATTATCACATCATTTCTACTGGGGTTGATAACTTTTAAAATCTAGTGTTATTTGTGATGGAATTTCCAGCATGATTTAAAGATGCAAAGAGGGTTTTGAAGGTAATAGGTAGCAATAATAATGAAAACACTTGAGTTCTGAGAAGTCTTGAAGTCTTCCCAATGTAATTCACACTGAAGTTTCTCTGCCAGAGCAACCCATAAAGGTTTGTGCAGAGGTGAAACAGGGACTAGGCAGTTCTCTTCCTCCACCACTTACAGTTTTTTCCTGGATAGGTTTTCCAGCTGAATAACTGATGAAAGATTTGTGTCACAAAGATGAGCCTAACGAGCTTGCAACCTAATGAGACACAGCATAAGCTCAAATATTGAGCTTAAAATTGCAGATTAGATATGACCACCCACTTTAAAAGAATCCCCAGAAACAGAAAAGTTTCAAATTTGTTTTTCAATTTTTGTTTCTCATTTTTCATTAATATCTGTACATGTGAATTTGAAAGTGTGTGTTTGTGAGCCACACCTTTAACAGTGTATTAAAAACAATAATCAACCTGTTACTGATTACTCTATAACTTGCAGACAGAAAGGTTGTGTTGGTCAAAAACTGCTACAATGTACCATCTAATCAACACATCTGCATTATCACTCTTAAGCTATCATGTGAAATGGGAAAATGAGACAATGATATGAAGGAAAAAATCTGAAAGAGGCATTTGAATAGCTATACTTGCTCATAAGGAATCAACGTTATCAGTGGCTTAGTGAATCTAACAGCAGAGCAAATACATTGGAACAGCTGAAATTCTAGGAGTGCAAAACTGCAGGAAAAGAGGCTCCTCTTCATGTTTTCCTTAGCTAAATCAAAAAATTAAGGTTTAGTTTCAACACAATCATTTTATTTTATTACCTATTGGACTAATTTGATGATTGAATACCATTAACTTGAACTACTAATTTACATTAATTGTGATATTAATTTGATCACTCCTTTATTCCAGCTTTAATTGGATTGGTAAAGTTACACCATCATGTCTGAATAAAATGAATTTTTTACACTTATTAAATGAAATGTATTAAAAATACATGCAGTCAGGAGATGACTGAGAAACACAGACTGGAGTAAGAAACATATCCTGTGTCACTCAGTAAAAAAAAAAAAAAATAAGTTCATAAAGTACGAAAAATTATCCTAAAGATGCTGCTAGTTCTTGCAAATGATAATGCTTATAGTAATATGATTTTATATGCATGATTGTTGAGGTTTAACCCCAGGCATTATTCAAGCCCTACAGAGCTGCTCACTCACCCCCTCACCAGCAAGATCAAGGAGAGAATGAGAATAGCAAAAGCTAGAAAATTTGTGGGTTGAGATAAAGTTTATTAGAGAAAGCAACAGCCATGCACACAAGCAGAGCAAAACAAGGAATTGATTCAGGGCTTCCCATGGGCAGGCAGGTGTTCAGCCATCTCCAGAAGAGTAGGGCCCCAGAACTTGCAGAGGTTACTTAGGAAGACAAATGCCATCACTCCAAATGTCCTCCTTCCTTCTTCTTCCCCCACTTTATATACTGAGCATGATGCCACATGGACCCTTTTAGTCAGCTGGGGTCACCTGTCCTGGCTGTGTCTCCTCCCACCCTCCCGAGCACCCCCAGCCTCCTCACCAACATGGCAGCACAAAAAGCAGGAAAGACCTTGGCTCTGTGCAAGCCCTGGTCAGTGATAACAAAAACATCTCTGTGTTATCAGCTCTGTGTTCAGCACAAATCCAAAGCACAACAACATACCAGCCACTGGGAAGAAAATTAATTCTACCCCAACTGAAGCACATATTGGAAACACATGAGAAAGCTCTTGTCAGATACTTGTTAGAATAATTTCTTTTTTAGAGAAAAGAGTTTTCCAGAGAATGACTAATTTAGTGGCATCAGCATCTCCAAAAAAATCTGTTGTCAGTGATCCACTCTTGGAAAGGAGAGTTAGGAATATAGGAAAACTACAGACAATATTCTGCTGGCTTCTAGATTTGTGCTGTCTCCAGAAGAATAGTTGGGTCTGACTTGCATCAAGTTTGATGATTAACAAACTTTTAGTACTTATTAACTTCATTACTTAATAAATCAGGGACAGCATGTGCTGTGGGTTATCTATGACGTGGACGATCCAGCCACAGATAAAAGCAAGTTTAGTTAAGACATAAAATGATTTCTAATTCCTTTTTCCTATGAAAATAAGTACATTTTGAAGGAAAAAACCTTTGTGAAAAGTTTGATGTTTGGTTTGTGTTAGACACACTATCATTTGTCAATGTGCTATTTTAACGAGCTCACTTTAGAGAACGTAAAATCTCAAAACTCCATTGTCGCAGACATTTTTTCACAGAAATCCTTTCTTTGGGACTTGTTCGTTTTCTGGGAAGCAAGGGCCCCCAGAAAGAGAATGTAAACAATTGTTATCAGCTGCTGTGAAATGCAATAGGATGCACCTGTGATTGGTTCACGTTCCCATGTTTATAATTAAGGGCCAATCACAGGAGCAAGCTGGGGACAGAGTCCCTGGACACAACTTTGTTATAGATTCTTTCTTTTCGATTCTTAGCTTAGCAGCATCTGCAACTTCTCTCTTTATTCTTATTAGTATAGTAATAATGTATTATATATCATATATCAATAAATCCAGCCTTCTGATCAAGAAACAAGATTCTCGTCTTTCTCTTACCCCCAGCGACCCCATGCAGGGCGCTGTAATACTCCATGGATAAATCTGCAGACTATTCAAACATCTAATAAACTGCAAGTTAAGGAACAATTAAATAGACTGGAAATTGTGTCATCTGGGGTAAACTCACCTCACAGACAAGATAACATTTTCACTTTATGTGTACATTTGAAAATCTACACAGTGTAATGAGCTTTATTTTAGTCAAGAGACCAAAAAAGAACAGAGAAAGAGCAGCAACTATAATTGTTAGAGCTAAAAACAATTGGCTAGAGATAATTTATTTGCTAAATTTAATTCACTTTTCTCCTCTCAAGCTGTCTGCAAACAGAGAGATTATGACATATATTTCATTCTAATTTTATGAAATTCAATTATTATTAATAAATTAGCTAATATTTTTGTAGATTCATCTGAGACCATGGATTAGGCATAAAATTTTCTAAATACTCAAGCTGTTGACAGGTCTTGTACATCACATGATATTCTACCTTTTATTTGACTTACAAATGGGGACCTTTGAAATGACTGGAGGGTTAATTCTTTTGCAGAAAGAGAGAGAGGAAGAAAACGCACAGAACAGAAGCAAACCTATAGAATATGAAATTTATCTTCATCATGTTCCCCTAGGGAAAAAATGTTAATTGTTTTTTAGTTACTACTAGCAAATTAGGTTTGAACTGAGAAGTCACCTTAAATATTGATAATAATACATATTGGCTAATTCAGCAGAGCTTATATTGAATTTTCTCAGAACAGCATTAAAGCAATTTGTATGTATGTACAGCCCACTAAATTTTCTTAATTAACATTGCCTGGAGAAGGAAAGATATTCTCCCAGTCTGAGCTGCTAAGACTGACAATGGTAGAGCCATACATCCTCTGTGACCCAGAAGAGCTGCCCGAGCAAAACCAGAATTGGTACTTTTCATACCTCTTGGCTAAGAAAATACGGACTAAAAAATTCCTTTATAACAATAATTCCAGAAATCCTTTCAGAATATTTAAAGTTTGGGGTTTCTTTCTTAACTTCCTTTCAGATTTTCTTCAAATGTTTCTTTTTTTTCCAGAGATTCATGTTTTGAGCCTTTTCTTTGAATCTATGACCCAGTTTATTATGACTTTATTCAGTACTCTTCTGTGACAGTGCTGGCAACATATCACTGTCTGCAGCAGCTGCAATAGCTCTTGTAACAGAAGAAGCATTTGAACAGTCACTGTGCAATATTTACCTTTATAAATGCCAATCATTTTACAGGCTTGGTACTGAGACTTGATGGTTGGTTAATGATGATATTCCCAGAAGAACTGAAAATGGCAAGTCAAGACACACCATATGCTTCATTTCATCAACCTGTATGCACAAGTGATTTCCCATACTGCTAATGTTAGTATCATTTTAATAGGCTTTTATTGGAAAAGGAGTCAGAGTGTCTAGATAAAGGACCTTTTCTATTAAGCTTAGCAAACCTATTGATTTGCTGCCTGATTATTTTGATCTCACTTGTTAATCTGGAGAAACTCCACTGAA